TTGGTTTAGGACTAAGTTATCAGTGATTTATTTTTGGATCAAGTTCTTCACTGATTTTGCTTGGAATGAACTCACTGATTTGAACTGGGATCAGATTCTCGCTGATTTGGTTTAGAACCAAGTTCTCACTTATTTGGATTGGGATTGAGCTCTCACTGATTTAGTTTAGGGACAAAACTGGAATGGGCAGAAATGTTTCGGTAAAAATTTCGTATCAAAGCATCTGTTTGAGGGGTTTTTTGTTGTTGGGTTTTTTTTATTGTTTTGGTTTAGTTTGGGTTTTGGTTTTTTTTTTTTTTAATTATATGTTTGATGTTTGAGGGGCAAAAAAGGTAAAATCTTGAGAATTTTTTCTTTTTTCTCCTTTCCTCTCTTTCCCTTTTCTTCTTTTTCCCCGGGAAAAGGCAGCCTGTTCTGGTTTGCCTTTCCCACCTCATTTTACACTTTTCCTCCTAATTCTGGTGATTTTTGCTTTTAAAAACAAACCAGAAAGATCCTGCAACAGAAATCCCATTTTCTCACGTGCCTCTCCACTGATTTTTGTGGGACTATCACATCCATAACCAGCTACAGAGCGTGAAATCACAGCTCTAACAATATATTTAAAATGTCCTGTCAAATTGTGGATAACAGATTCTGGATATCCCAAATTTGGTTATAATTTGGGGGGAGGGAAAAAGCAATTTCCCCCTGGGATTTCCTTTTGAAAGGGCCTAAAATAACCTCCTCCTCTCCCAAGATTTCCCTCCTTCCCTGCACAAGCAGTGCTGGTGCTGCTGTAATTAAATATTTACAGTATTTCTGTATCTGGTGGCTGGGCAGGAACTGGGAAGTGCTGATTCCAACAGCTCCGTGACCTTGTGGGGTGACCCCCTTCTCCCTTTGGCTGCTCTCCCTCTCCCTTTCATCCCCGAAGCCCTCCTGGCTTTCCCAAAATCCCTCTGACAGGTGGCACTGTCTCTCTCCGCGGCTCCCAGGGGAGCAGCTCCCCCCTCGCTCCCTTCACTGCGCTTTTCCCTCTTCGTTTCCTCCTTTTCCCTCCCAATATCCCTCCGAGCTCTTTAATTCCTATTTATCTCCGTGGAATGGTTCCCTCGGTCTTTTGGTGCAATGGGGCTGAAAGGAGATTTTTTAAAAAAAGGCCCTTTTAACCAATTTTGTGCCTCCCTCTGGAGGATTCCTTCCCAAGGCCAGGAATAGCTGTGGTGGGAGCAGCTCCGCGCCTGCACAGCCGGAATTCGCTGCGGATTTCCAGCCCTCCCCGTGCCCACAGCCTGGGCTTTGGGCTTTTTTTTTCCCCCCTGCTTTTCCCCCTAATGTCTCCTGGACCTTCTTGCTGCTGTCTTTTCCATATAAACGCTCCCAGGCCGTTTTTCCTGAGGCAGCAGGAGCTCCGGGAGCAGCCGAGCCTGGGCTGTGCTCCCTCCTCGGGATGAATCCCGGGAGCCCGGTGGGCAGGAATCCTCCTTTGGGCACCTCTGGGCTGCTCCTCTCCCGTGGCAGAGGGGACATTTTCGGGGCTGATTTTCACAGTGACCTATTTTTGCCCCTCCACGTAATTTTTCCTTGTGTTTCTGTCCCGTGGAAAAGGCTCCGGGGGGTGGGAAGAGGTCACGGGGAATGGGGGGATGTTTTTCCCGGAGCATCCAAGCGTGATCCTGGGAGTCTGTGCTCTGTAAAGAAAACTATCCCAGGTCATGTTTAAACACCAGGGAATTCCTTCCCAGTGTTTCAGACCCGTTATCTCACGTAACCAGTTCACTCCCAGCATCCATTTAACCATTCCTGGTGGGATCTCTTACTTAATTGGGAGAATCCACTTCCCAGCGGGAGGTTCCTCCAGGATCCTGCTCAGCCAGAGGCGCCTGGATGAGGAGGAAAAGCTGGAATTGCTGCCTCAAATCATCCTCAGGTGGGTCCAGGTTGCAGCCACCTCTAATCCAGCCTTTTATTTCCTAAAGGAAAAGCTGAGCAGGACAATCCCTTTAAAAGGCAGGATAATGATGGGAAAAAGCTTTGGATCCTTTAACAGACTTTGAGGGAAGAGAGAAGGAAATCATGGGGTGACCAGCTCTGGCTCCATTAATTCCTGGGATGAGGGATCAGCTGTGGGAGGTTCCCAAGAGATTCCCAGTATGGAAAGACTTGTATGAATGCCATTCAAAAACTTGCCAGTGGAACCTTTAATAAAGACACTTCTTTATTCCTGTTTATCCACTGATAAAAGAACATCATGAAGGGCCACCTATGAGGCTTTTAGGCCTGAAGGCACATTCATTCCTATTCCAAAATATGGAATTTTGGACACATATTCCTTGCATTCCAGCCTGCAGACCGAGGAGAGATTTCAAATCTACCTGCTCTCATTTTTCCCCCACAAGGAAAAGGTGGGAAGGCAAAGTGTAAATGAAATATTCTGTCAAAAACGTTCACTTGCAAGTTGGATTTTGATGTTTTTCAGCTCGAAAAAGCCCGTTTTCTCCCCCACATGGTGCTCGTGGAGCAGGAAATTTATGAGTTGTGAGTATTGTAAAGAATATATTCACAAATCATGGGATGCTGGAGTGGTTTGGGTGGGAAGGGGGCCTTAAAATTCATCTCATTCCACCTCCTTGCATGGGCAGGGACATTTCCACTATCCCAGGTTGCTCCCAGCCTTGTCCAACCTGGCTTTGGACACTTCTTCCTACTGGGATTTTTTCCTTGGACTGGTTCTGTTGCCTCTTTACTCAAAATAGGAGCTGTGACTTGGGATTTTCCAGGCCTTCCAAGCAAAATGCTTTGACAAATTTCCCTCCTTCCACCCCAGGGTTTTTTTTAGGAGTTTGCCTAAATCTGAGCCTCCCAAATTCCATGTGATGATGATGAATCTCCTTGTTCCCAGGAGCTGCAAGGCCTGATGTTGGGGTTTGTGTTTGGCAGATGATGGGGAAAAATCCTTCCGTTGAGATCCAAGGCCAAAGGAGGAGCAGCAGCTCCTGGAATAAATGGGAATGAAAAGTATCAAACACCTGATTTAAGGTGAGTTTAAATATTAAGAATGTTGCAGTAAATTATCCATCAAAAATAGATTTTTTTGGCCAACTTTTCATATAATTTCAACCTAAAGATGGTTTTGCCACTTCCCATATAATTTAAGTATTAAACCACAATTCAATTATGGTTGACTGCAGTTTGTGGGATTAAAAAGTGATCTCCTTCCTCCCCTCCGGAGATTCCTGCTGGATCCCATGGGAAGAACTTTCCCTGGCACACCAACAACCCACACCCTGAGCAACAGGACCTTCTCCAAACCAGCAGGACGTGAAGGAAGGCATCCCTTGCACATTCCCAACGTTCATTGGGGCATAAAAGTGTGGATTTCAGGAGCAGCATGGAAGGAACAGAGTGAGATGGATAATTCCTGCATTATTCATCCATTCAGGAATTCAGGGTTATCCTCTAGAGAGACAAAACTAATGGATTGTCTGCAAATATGGAGGTGATAAAAGATTCCAGGAAGGTGATCCAAGGGCTGGAGCCCCTCTGGAGCCAGGCTGGGAGAGCTGGGAATGTTCCCCTGGAGAAGAGAAGGATCCAGGGAGAGCTGAGAGCCCCTTGCA